CTGAAATGCCATTTCAGCACACCATATTTTGACTGTTGTTCTCACAGATAACGTAATCTTTAAAACACTAAAAAGTGCAAAACTTGACGCGTACAATAAAAACCATACAGGCATCTCTTCCTCTCCAAGAAAGGCAGCTCAGTAAAATTCTGCCATACTATGCAGTAAAGAAAATACTTTACTTTCAAATCCTTCCTCACCGAGTACCTACATAATAGATAAAACAAATATAATGAAAGGGAAAGAATTATCAAATGACATTCCATCAGTGTGTTAACTGTACTTTTAACAAAAATATGGACAAAGATAAAATGGGTTATAGAAGCACATTAGAATTTTATCACAACAATCTCTAGAATGCTATTTAATCCAAATTTCCACATTACAGTTTAGGATTGCCCTGTAATCCTATGGAACAGTGCCCACTTTGTGCTTGGAATATCCATATTTAGAAAGAAGATTTTATTATGAAACATAGGTTTAAAAAGCAAAATATAATTTTTTTTCAGTGTCCTTCATAGATAGTTGAATTATTCATATTTAAAGAAGAGCCATGGCTTTTGCTTTTTTTTTTTTTAATTATATCTATATAACTTGCAGCTGGTAGTCTACAAAGAGAGATGTTGTCAACACATGATGGGACACATCCCCACAAATACTAGCACTTTGGAGCTCTAACAGGTAGCATAGGAAATTGTTCTGGAAACCTGATGACAGTTTTGTTGTTTCATCACTTTGACCAGAATTACAGCTACTAAATATGGAAGGATGAGAAAGAGAACACTGATCTGGATTTTTAAAGTTAATGGTGATAACATCTTGCAGCTGAAATTGCACCGTGGACTGAGCTGGTATTCTCTTCTTGTTCTACAGTGCTAAACCAAAGCAAACAAATGAAAAGATTTCTCATTTACATGGCGATAGGACCATCTGCTGCCCAAATAATCACCCAAAATAAAACAGTCCTTCAGGCAGTGCGCTGGCCGGAGCAGCGCGTGGGCAATGCGCACACTAGCATAATTCACCCGCTGGAGGAGAGAGGCTGCCTTATGTAAGGGCCTGCCGTTTTCTTTTTCTCTTTTTTCTTGCTGGCTATGCAGCTTTTCACTGCTCCCAAAGGCTGTTTTATTTTTCAGACTATCTTTAACCAGAGACAATCTTGCGAGAAAAGTACAAGTCTTTAAGGCTAACGTTACAATCCAAGCAGAAGAGCTAGTCACACAAAGAGAAAGGATTTTCAAAGCTTCAACTCATTTTAAATGACACTTACATTCATTTCTGCAGATTTTCTGCTATAAGTAAATGAAGAACTTCATTCTGCATTCCACTGAACACCTCAAATCCCCTTGACAGTCAATGAACATCTGGAGTCCAAATTAATACAGCATTAATCCCTAAGGCTGGACAGCAAAACAGGTCAGGAACCATCCCTACTACAAAAGTCACTGTGGAAATCTTGCAGCAGGTCAACTCAAACCAGACTGCACTTCACTACTGGTTTTGTAACACACATTTTATTTTCAGACCGATTTCCCTTAACCAGCTCTTGCCCACAGTATAGCATTAGCATAGCTATAAGTGCAATGACCTAAACTATCCTGATAAAAACTACAACAGGTAGGTCTGTCCATACTCAGTAGCAGGATATTCCTAGGACATTCTTCTAACCAGATTCTTAGCACCCTTCACTCTCCCAGGAGTTTCCAGAGCAGTTGATGGTACTCAGCTCCTCGGGCTTTCAAGCCTTTCCTTTTCCTTCCATTGGGAAAAGAAATAAAACAAAAAAAAAAGA